CCCGATGCTTCTCTGCTTTAGCACGAGAGGTTCGCTCTGCCTCAATTTCCTCCTCCAGCTCCTCAATGCGCGCCTGCAGAACAGGAGGGACCCTTCACACCCGTGCCCTCCTCCTGCCTGAGCTGAGCCTGAGCAAGGGAGGGGAAGGAACAGAGACTTGCCTGCAGCTCCTTGATTTTCTTCTGAAATTGCATGCCCAGAGCTTGTTCATCCTCAATCTTGCTCTGGATCTGGCTGATTTCAAAGTCTTTCCTTTGGGCCAAGTGAACCATATTAGAGCTCAAAGGAAGAAGACAAGTGGTCCAGCCCAGCACTCAGGAGCCCCAGAGCCACACTTACTTCTTCAGTTTCTCATCCAGCTGCTGCTTATCATTCTCCAAATCCATGATGCTGTCCTGGGCCAGCTTCAGATCTCCTTCCAGTTTCCTCTTTGCTCTCTCCAGGTCCATGCGCAGTTTCTTCTCTTGCTCCAGGGACCCTTCCAGCTAAACACAACAAGACCTTCAGTGCTCTACCAGCCAGCTCAGGCTCCATACCTGTCCTGTTCCTGCTCTGTGTCTGTGTGCTTACATCATCCACTTGCTGTTCCAGCTTGGTCTTGGCTTTGGTCAGAGTATTGACTTTGTCCTCCTCTACCTGCAGGTCATCCAGGGTCTGCTGATGGGCCTCTTGGAGGGCTTTCTTCTCTTTGGTCAGCTTGGCGATGGTCTCATCCAGGGCTGCCATCTCCTCAGTCAGGTTTTTCACCTTTAAAAAGAAGGGAACAAATATAAATAAAGGAAATAGATATACAAGTTCTGTAATAGCACTCAACCCATTTTCTGGAGTGCAGGGGACATGTTCTACCTCATACCTTGTTTTCTGTGGCATGTTTTTCCTTCTCCACCTTGGCCAGTGTTAGCTCAAGGTCATCAATATCTTTCTTCAGTTCTGAACATTCATCCTCCAGTTTCCTCTTCTTGGCTGTCAGCTCAGCATTAATTTCCTCTTCTTCTTCAGCCCTTTCAGTCGCCTCCTTAATTTTGGCTTCCAGCTGTATTTTGGTTTTGATGAGCTGGTCACACCTTTCCTCAGCATCAGCCAAGCTGTCTGCTTCCTGGTGGGGAGACAGAATTGTATGGGTTCCAATATTCTGAATTTTCTGCTTTTTGCCTCTTTTATCTCAGAGTAGGTGGGTTTATAAGTAGCAGCTCAACCTGACCTTCAACTCCAGGAACAGAATTATCTTGACTGGTGTCTACTAGTAAACCTATTCATTTGGAATCAATATTTATTCCAAAGTTTTTGTGTCTCCTAAATTTGTCTCCCAGGGCACTTTTCTATGAGAATGTCTCATAGCACAAGCACTAATGCAGAATAGGACATTCTAAATGAATTTCTATTTTCAGCATGAGCAAGGGCTTGGAATATGTTTTTACTCTCATAGAAATTGTATCTACTCACTTTTTCTTCTTAGCTGTCTCAACAAAGCCTTAAAATATTTATAATTTAGAGGCTTTTCAATTTCTGAGCACTTTTTTTGAGAAAGAAATGTATCACTTTTGATACATGCACTTTTGACTGCATGGCAAATATACTTCTGGCCTATCAGCTACCTCTGTGGCTTCTTTCCAGGCCACGTCTAGGATCTTCTGTGGTAAATAGCTGATCATTTCATTGGCTGTTAATAAACTCCCTTGTCCTATTTGAATTTGAATGGGAAGTATCCATGTTTCTGTAAATAATCAAGGTTTTCTTGTGTAGCTGTAAGTAGGAAAAACAGGTCTTTCTCAGGTTTGCCTTTACTGTGTTAGACAACAGCACTGCTTTGAGAGTTGAGATATTTCCCTTCCAGCTTCAAGTTCTCAGCTGTTCAATACACAGTGGCTGGTGCTACATGGCTCTTTCCTCAGACAACTACAATGGTGAGTGCCACGTGGGTCTGCCAGGAATCTCACTATGCCCTTGCCAGTGCCTGTTGACTCAACATTAGAGTGCCTCACAGTGTGTGATTTAGACTGTTTTCTACCACTTGCTAATTCCTGTGAGTGTCTGTGCAGGACAAGACACATTCTGACTCTTTTTCCAGGGAAAAATGAACAGTGATACTCACTGCCTGCACTTGGAGCTGCAGGTCATTTTTCTCCTGCACCAAGGCCACCATTTTCTCCTCCAACTCCTTCCGCTTTGCCTCAGACTTTGCAAGCTCTTCCTTGGTTTTCTCAAACTCTTCCTTCATGTTGGCCATTTCCTTCTCAGACTCTGCACTCTTCAGCAAGGGCTTGATCTTGAAGAACAGCTTCATCCATGGCCAGTGTTTGACATTCATGAATGAACGAACGTTGTACTGGATGCAGAAGATGGACTCCCTGAAATGAATTTCAAGCAGTTATTACATGGCTTTGGTGTGATTCATTTAAACTTCATCAGTAAAGTACCATGAATATCAACTAAATATGAGAAATATCTACCTCCTCTCCACCATTTTCTTATACTCCACTCTCATCAGGAAGCCCCTGCACCTGGCTTGTGTGCGAGTGATGATTTCTGCCAACTTGTCATCTCTCATCTCCTCCAGGAGTCCCAGCAAGCCAGCTTTGAAGAACACCTTGAGAAAGGAAATGTTGCACCATGTCATTGTGATGTAGGACAGAACAGAAGCACAGAGTCATTCAGATTGCTGAAATACTGTAATGGCCATGATCAGTATCACCTTGGGCCCTCTCCCAAATCCTCTGTCTAAGGGCTTAGAACTTCCCATAATCTCAGCCCTAAGCATTCAGTCTTCGTCTTAACTATGTGCCATAAATACTGGTTTCCAGTTCAGCCACAGCCTCAACCACTCCTGTGCCTGGTTATGGACACCAGTGAGCTCTACCATGACCTATTAACTTAATTCCTGGGCTGATGTTAGACCAGTCTCACTGCTATGGGTATGTCCATGAATTAATGACTAGGGCCTTGCCTTTTTAGCCTACCTACATCTGACCCTGACAAATCTTGAAAACGAAGGTTTTATGGCTTCAACCATGGTTATTGTAACAAACTTTACTGACTGATGGTGTGGACTCCTGGTTGAATCTGCTTACCATCCTCACTTGCCTTGACTGAGTGTCACTGATAGCAGCCCCTAGTCTGGCAGCTCTGTTATGTTATTGTGCTGTGCCTGAGCCCCTGACAGAGCCCACTCTTACTGCTTTTGACAAACTTTTAACACAGGTCTTGCTTTTACCTTGGTGTGACCAAATTTGTACTGGGTATGGTCAACATCAATGGACCCAAGGAGCTTCTCTGAAGCCTTCTTGTTGTCCATGAACTGTCCCTCTGGGATAGCACTGGCATTAAGTACTCTGTATCTGCAAAAGGAAACAAAACATGAAGAAATCACAATTGTTGAAACCACTACCAGAACTTTTCAGACTGTAGCATTGAACCAGTCTCATGCCTGGAGACAGTTCATCCTCTCAGGACAGAATATGGGAAATGTTTTTAATAGTAATTCTAAGTACAAAACAATCCTGATCTCAGCACTGCCACATCATCATAAACTGATGGTGAAACATCTATATTAATCAGTACTAATTTAAAATAAAAAGTTCAAAGTATATTATAATGATCAGGCTCTTCACCTTGGTCTGAATGGTCAGAGATGCAGAGCTCTCACCTCTGTTTGAAGTCAGCATAGAGGACTCTGCTGGGGAAGCCTTTCCTGCAAATCCTGATCCCTTCCAGCACGCCGTTACAGCGCAGCTGGTGCAGCACCAACTCCATGGCACCTGACAAAGATCACCATTAGTGACTACCCTGCTGTTTGACACTCAGGAGAAGAGCTGCTGCTGCTCAAGCTTTCCTCCCCTTGGTTTGCCTTACCAGGTGTTTTAGTTTCATTTGGGATGATGCACCGTACAAAATGGGGGTGAGTGCTTCTCAAGTTGGCCATCAGCTTGTTCAAATTCTCCTGTGAGATCATGAAATGAAGTTTTCATTATTAAGTGTAAGCATTGGAATCTTAACAGTGTTTCAAGATGCATATCATTCTTCTCTAAAACAACTTGCAGAACTCCCAAAAGGAAAATTGGAAGCTGAAGGCTCCCAAAATCTGATTTTGAAATTCTTTTATAGAATAATAGTTAGTATTACATTTCCTTGACCTCCTCATTTGAATACAGGGTTATCATCTCACAGTGTTCCTTTAAGTTGGTAATTCTTGTGGTATACTGTTGGGAATCTTATATAAATGACATACTCTTGATCAAGCATGACTAGCATCTAATTTGTCAGCTAAGTAAGTTGTATCTAAATGGAGGGGATATGTTTATAGTCCATATAAAATTACCCTTTTAATAGTAATTCAGTATCAAACTTTGAGAAATGGAAAACTGAAAATTTAGCCTTCCCTCTTTTTCCACATAGAAATCAAGTCGCTGCCTTAAAATGCTGTAATCTGGAGGTAATTTCTTTTGATTTTTATGTTTTATCTATTATTTTTTTTAAATTTTACTTTGAGTCAGTACTGAAAATCTGTCTAGAGACATAAAAAAATCTAGGAAATATACCTGAATGCAGCAGAGAGGATTTTAAGGAAGTTGGCTGATAAGTTAGTCACTCCCATCTAAGTTGGTGAACTTAATCCTTCAGATATTTTTGTGGAATATTTAAAAAAGAACATGGCATTACAAAAGGAATATTCTGTAAGTTGCAAGGATGGAAAAGAAAGGATTTTAAAGGATAGAAAGAGTTATATCCAAAATGGAAACTGACCTATCCGATTCAGAATGAAAATGCTTTCCATCTTCAAAGAGATAACAAATACTTTAATTACCCTGAAAAGAGCTGAGACAGTCTGGAAAGAAGAACCCTTCTTCTTGCCTCCCTTCTTGCCACCACCACCACCAGCGTCTGAAAATAAAAACAAAGAAAAAAAAGTTTAATAATATTGACAATGTATATTGGTTACTAAAGAATGCAAAGCCACTTTTTATTTCTAGTCTTTACTGCTTTAATTCTGAGAAAAGTTTGTCCCGCATTAAAAATACAATTTTCATAAAACTGACCTGCATCAGCTCCACCATAAGAAGCAAAAAGTAAAGCCAGGGTCTTCACAGATGATTTCTGGTACAGCCCAATGACAGTTTCATTCAGAGGGTCCTTGTTCTTCTCCAGCCAGCCAGTGATGTTGTAGTCCACTGTGCCAGCGTAGTGCACCAGGGAGAAGTGAGCTTCAGCCTTGCCTTTGCCAGGCTTGGGCTTCTGGAAGTTGTTGGACTTGCCCAGGTGCTGGTCATAGAGCTTGTTCTTGAAAGAGGTGTCAGTTGCCTTGGGGAACATGCACTCCTCTTCCAGGATGGAGAAGATGCCCATGGGCTGGGAGAAATCACAAGTAACAAGGAAAGATTAGAATGGAAATGTTCAGTATTACTATGGATGGGGCGTTCACCTGCCTGGTCTAGAGGAAGGAGTCCTCCCACCATGGTCAGGGATTGGAACAAAATGTTCTTTATGGTCCCTTCCCACCCAAACCCTTCTGTCATTCTATGACACTGACAAGAAGCCTGTGCTATGATCATCAAAGGTTGGTTGTGCTGTTGGCGGCACCTCAGCCTGGATGAAAGCCTAGGTTCACCAGGAATTGTTCCCAATCAAGGGGTTTATTTCTGTTGTCCCTCGCCTCCCTGCAGCCTACCTTCATGGAACTGGTAGGAAGGACTGTCCAGTTCACATGAGAATTAGTGAAGAACTGGGAGAGCAATGGTAAAGAAAAAAATAATGGGGAAAACAAGGGGCTCCATAGTTTATGGAGGTCAGGTGACAGGAGATTTATTTCTCAATTTTTTCTGTAGACTTTGGATTTGAGCCTTTGGAGAAGGAAGAAAAGGAGACCGAATTAGATTTGGTTTTAGAAGTCTGTTGGTGGAAGTCTAGGCTACTTTTCTATGTTTGAAGACCTGATGATTCAGACTGATGACACACATGTGCATTTCTCCATTTCTCTTTCCCAGGCTAAACTAAAATTCAGTGCAAAATATTTTCCTTAACTGATGCTACATGTCTGGCTGTGGATTCTTTCTGAGCTGACTGTCCCTCAGAATATTCACAGAATCCCAACAGCCATTTTATACTTGCATGGAAAAGGTACCTTCTCAATGAGCTCAATGCAGGCAGCCAGGTCCATGCCAAAGTCAATGAACTCCCATTAATGAACTCCCATTCAATCCCCTCCTTCTTGTACTCCTCCTGCTCCAGCACGAACATGTGGTGGTTGAAGAACTGTTGCAGTTTCTCATTGGTGAAGTTGATGCACAGCTGCTCAAAGCTGTTGAACTGCCCAAAGCAAGGAAAGGTACACAGGTTCTCAAGGTGTGCCAAAACCCACAGGCATTTCCTGCCAGTCTCCTAAGGCTGTTTGAAGTTGAGACACCCGTCCCAACTCTACTGTACCAGCATGTGTTTCCTTAGGAGGCCTTCTACTCTAACCGTCACTGTTCTTGAAGGACATTTTAATTATTACTTTGCAAATCAAACCAAAAGTTACAATTCTTTTTCACTGTGCTACTCAACTGCAAGTCTTTGGTAAGCCCATGAGCTCC